TGCCTGGACATGCTGCTTCCCCTATTGACAGGACAGAAATAACTTGCTTGCTTGTGCCTCAGAGAGCTGGGGCGGGGGAGGGAAGGGATAGCTAGCTCCACAGTGCTGACACCTTGGCCAGATCTCTCTCCTTTGCCCAGCAACAGACCTCCATCCACTCCAGACCTATTTTGCTATCCTTCGCAGGCTAAGAAAAAGAAGGGACCATCAGATGGCTCATAAATAAGGCTGCGAGACTGTCACAGAAGTCACGGATTCCATGACTTTCCGGGACATCCATGACTGCTGCAGCAGCCAGTGTGGCTGACCCCAGGGCCGTCCCGGGGCCAGCCACCCTGAGTGGTCCTGGAGGCTGCCTGAGCAGTGGTCTCTGGGGGCCTCGGAGCAGCGGGAGGCCAGGGGTAGTCAGCACCCGCCACCAGAGCAGGGGCCAGCTGTTGGTCCCCGGGATCCCGCTGAGCAGCTAAGATTTAGTCAGGGATATTTATAGTAAAAGTCATGGACAGGTCACAGGCCGTGAATTTTTGTTTATAGCCCACGGCTTGTCCATGACTTTTATTAAAAATACCATGACTAAATCTTAGCCTTACGCATAAGCAGGATCATCGCCCTGAAACTGGTTCCCACAGCATGGTCACGTGAAGGATGGGTATTGGGGGTATTTTCCAACCACTTGTAAATGGTCTTTCTAGACCCAGGTATGGGTAGGCTTCAACCACCACATCTGAAGCATCAGGTCTTGACTATTCCTGGAGGTAGGATGCCAGACTAGATAAGAATAGCCCCTTCCATCCAAGGATCCCAAAGGGTGTTACAGACATTAATGAGTTATGCCTCACCTCTCCCAATGGTTTGCATATTACCTTCATTTTACAGATGAAAAAACTGAGGCACAAAGAGGTCAGGTGATTTGCCCAAGGCCATACAGCAATTTGGTGTCAAAGCCATGGCCAGAACCCAGAAGTCCTAACTCTCAGCCCTGTGCTGTACCCACAACACGATGCTTCCAGGTGGATCTATGGCGGATTGGATTTCTGATCAATCATTCCGACCTCTGAGGCAAAACGGTTAGATTATACTGACCGTTGGCTGGCATTTCCGCCTTTGCAAGGTGACTGGTTCATTCCCAAACCCTGTGTCCCACCCGGCAGTCACAAGCAGTGCAAGCTGTTATGGATCAGCCTGTCTCACAGTCACAAAAATGACCAGATAGGAACAGACCTAGCCAGCCTGGCCTCTTCCTGCATTTTCCATTGCTTTCTATAGGAGCCAACAGCTTTCATTAAAAAAATTCCCACCTCCTTCCATGGCGGGGCCAGTCCTGTGAATCGGGGAACAGTCTATAGTTTAGACTGGACTTTCTCTGCCCTGTGCTGCTCGCTCCAACCTGCTCCCTCCCCCTTAGCCTCACACCACACCTGCCCCTCTTACCCTCTTTTCCCCTGCCCGATCCTCTTCACCCCTTTCCCTTCCTTTTCCTTCCATTTAGCTGATCTCCTCCTAAGTATCCCCCCCCTCCAATGGAATTAACATGCAATTTGCTGCCATCACATGGTTCGCTCTGCTTGTGTGTTCTGCCCGTTCGCCCACCTGTCTGTTGTGTCTGCTTAGACTGTAAACCGCTCAGAACCGTCTGCTACTCTGTTTCTAGAGCTCCTAGCACAATGCCCTCCCCCCACCCCCATTCTTGGCTGTCCCTTAGGCACTAGCATAATAAACATGATTAATAGTAATGTTCATGACCTAGTCACTCAGGCTCCCTCTAGCTAAGTTATAGCTGTATCTACAGAAAAGCCATCTCTAGCCCCTATTGCTCTAACGAGGTGCTAATGTCAAAGGCTCCCTGGGTACATTTAAATGCGGATTTGACAAACAGCCTCTGGTCAAGGGGAAAAGCCACCCCTTGCACAGAGCTGTGACTTGCTCAGGGCCCCACACGGATTTGGCAGCCTCCTGGTTTCCTGTTTTAGCCCCTAGACACCAGTGCCTCCCCAGACCTTAACTATTGATACAGATTGCTGCACCACTTGCAACTATGGGCTGCTGTGGTGCTCCCATCCCCCAAATCTAAGGTGATACCTTAGCCATGGGACTGCAGAAGCCCTTTGAGTCAAGATCGGAGCTTTGATCTTCCACACTGCTGCCTGATGGTGCATCAATTGAATTGATTCATTTAGGGTATATTCCTTATTTCATTTGACTTCCCACTGGTTATATCTATGGAGTATAAATATAACTTGGTGGGAAAATCCTACAGAACATCCCTATTTTGTGTGTCAGCAATCTGATTTGCAGGGCTGGAAGAAACAGATAGAAAATCCTGTTTGGGTTTTGGTCCCAAGCCTATAGAATTCAGGAGAATATTAACCCTGATTTGAACACAAGGTCATCATCTCTTTTTAACCTTTCTGCAGGTGGCCTTGTAAATGGGGAAGTCATTGAGTCATTGCAAGTCTGACAACAATGCCACGATAACAACTATTTATACAGATCATTTCATATTCAGTGCAAGGTCCTATTGCCAAGACTTAAAAAGTATATAAATGAAGGACCCGATCCTGCAATCATTATTATATGTATATTACTGAGCTAGTATTAAAATAGACAGACATAAATTAGGAACTTCAGACAGTTTGAGAACAAACAATTCCCACTTTGTTTAGATGGGGTCCAGCAAATTGCATAGCTGATAAGGATACTTACCTTCCTTGGTAAAGTGCTTTGAGAACTCCATATAGGAGTTTTCCATATAGGTGCTAAATAATACTATACAAACAACGTTTTCTTCAATCATTTCCTTAGGGGAATTGAAAGAAAAGAGAGGAAAGAGTGCACATATAATCCTCCCAAGGACACAACAGAACCTAGTGCTAATTCTCAGAGTGCTAGTTAATCTGTCTAAGCCACTATTACCATAATATTTGGGCACCTCACAGTTTTTACTATATTTATCCTAGCAACAACCCTCTGAGGTAGGCAAGTGCTATTGTGTTAGCTATTACCCTATTGTGACACAGAGGGACTAAGATACTTTTCCAAAGTCTAGGCAGGGCAGGCAATCAATCCTAGGTCTCTGGACTCCTAGGTTAATGCTCTAACCACTGGACCATCCTTCTTCCTGGTACAATATCTTGCTCCCATTTACACAGGATCCTTTCCATATTTCCTAGCTTGTTCCTCTTGTGTAGCAAATTCAGTTCTTTTGCCTTTTTTAAGGAACCAGTGATGCTTTAACAACATAGGGGACATGCCAGGAGCAACCCAGGATAGGCAAAGATGGTGGAGCCCTGTTCATCCCCTAAGAGACATTTGGTAGTGCAGGAATAATTCAGAATGATCCTCTGGGGGGAGAACTTTTTTTTTCCTGAGCAGCAGATAAATCCCTTAGCTCCCTACCAACAGCAAAAGAAAAATGGACAAAGAACCATGAGGGAAAATCAGAACCCAGAAAATTAAATCAAACCAGTCGCTAAAGCTTTCATTCACCCAGCAACCCCACAGCATGTCTCTGAGGGAGACACATTGCTCCATTTCCATTGACGTCAATGCAGTTTTTGCCTGAGACGGGAACTTAGGTTAACTTCAAACACTAAGTTATATCTGGATGTACATAGAGACAGAGCTTCCTCTTGACTTCACTGGGAGCAGAGCGAGGCCAACACTGAATCCCACTCAGATTGCGTGTGTGTGTGTGGGTGTGTGTATATAACACACGTGGTTATAGTTTACAGCCTGATTCTACAATTGTTAGTCAAGCAAAATCCCACTAGCTCCAATGCGTGCTCTGCATAAGGACTGCCCTGATTTTATTTTATTTTATTTTATTTTAATACCTTACAAGCTTCGATAAGGCAGGGACTGTCTTGTTATGCATTTGTCCAGCACACAGAACAATGGGGTTCTGAACCTAGCTGGGCCTCCAGATGCTACCGCAATGCAAATAATAATATAATCGTGACAGTGAAACAGCTCTGAGCTGGATCTGAACTGCATAAACAGTTAGGTGTAGTTACTGAAGTGGTGTTATTGACAGAGCTGCAGTGACTCATGCTCATGGACAAGTCTACCTGTAAAACAGGTTAAAGCGTCACCCATGCTTAAAAGGTGGCAGCGCAGAGGAATTCTGTCCATTTGGGACAGAAATGAGGAGCAGATCCTTTCGATTTGTTTTGGTCTCTGTTCTCAGAACATTTTCAATGTTTTGCCCCATAAATTTGCCAATGCGGATATTGCCAAGCCACATTTTGGAAAGTCATCATTACCCAACAGCTGACGTTCTCAGCCTCAACTCAACTGCGCTGCCATTAAGCATTGCCTGGCCTGGCTCGGGTCTCTTTAACATGGAGTACATTTGCCTATATGGATGGGAGGAGATAATGGCAATGAAGCTAGGCAAGTGCTGTGCAAGCTTCCCACCCATCACTCTGCCATTGCACCTCAATCCTCTGCATCCCACCGCTATTGCAGCCCTGCCCCCTCCCCGCCCCCCCAAACTCCACCAACACACTTCAGTCCTGACCTGCTGCAGCTCCCTTTGCTATTCCAGTCCTGGACTCCCTCCCCCATACACACATACACTGCTCTGCCGGTGCATCTCACTTCTGTCCTGCAGTCCTCTGGTATTCCAGTCCTGGACTCCCTCCCCCATACACACATACACTGCTCTGCCGGTGCATCTCACTTCTGTCCTGCAGCTCTCTAGTATTCCAAACTGGGCAGACAACAGGCAGACAGAGACACACACGCTCCACCAGTGCACCTCAGTCCTGATCTGCACCACTAGATACTAACTCAGCGCCGAGCATCTCCTGAGCAAAGACTTGGCTGGTGTTGCCACAGACTTGAAACCAAGTCCCCAGAGATTAAACCTTGACCAGCCCATGTAGTTCTCCCCCTCCCCTTTTTAAAGGAACCTGACAGGATACAAGAATTGTAATCAAAACAGAAAGGAATTTAAAAGAGACACGTTAAACCCCAGTTCGTAATAGAGACCTTGTTACCTGAATTGAGCCTCAGCGACGGTCTACGCCCCTCTCTGGCCCTGTGCCGATGACGGTCTGGTGGGTCGCTGCTGTTCCCAGAGGCCATGGTGGAGGGGAGCTTGGGGAGAGGGGATCAACTTTACCCTGCAGAGGGAGAAACAAGGGAAGGCAGGGTGAACAAGGCAGGACGCTGAACCAGATTGCTCAGGGAAGGGCTCTGGGGAGCTGCAAGCTATGACCAGTCTGGTGATGCCAGAGGAGACAACTGGAGACTCAAGGTCTGTTCTGTGGCCTTGGATCCTTACACACCTCCAGGGACAGTCTTAGGCCCCAAGATAATTCTTCTTTAGAGTTTCTCCTCTTAGCACTTTGCCTCCCGCCCTCCTTTATCTCTGCACATCTGACAGCCTCCTGGCTCCTCCCCTCCCTATCCCACTCTCAAATCCCCACCCACACCAAGGTTCCTCCGATCTCTCTGGCTGGATAGCATTAGTTCCCTCCAACACATCCTCAGGCTCCTCCTCCATCTATAGGATCACTCCCATGCCACGAGTGTTTATCATGCTCAGGACAATGAGATCCCCCTAGCACTCTGGTGAAGCACTTCACGACCACACACAAAGGTGCTCCTCCACAGGCTGCATGCTCACCCGATACCGTCTGGACTGAACTTGCCTTCAGCGAGGCTAGTTACCATTCCAGTCTGTACCATTTAGTCCCAGCGTGGATGGAGGTCACTGGTGTCGTACCACAACTGGTTCCAACAGTCCTACGTCTAGCGCACTGGTGACCTTTCAAAATCTGCTGCAATGCATTGCTTTTGGGGAGCTGTGCCGCAGAAACTGGGGGGACAGTTTCCCAGAAGGCACTGCAACCGTGACGATCTAGAGCGGTGCGAGCGCAGATGCAGAGCAAGCTCTTAAAATGATTCTGCACAACCAGCTGGGATGCACTGAACTGGTTCAGTGTCCTAGTGTAGAGATGGCCATTGTATCGCCAGGAGAGGTTTGAGCTGTTTTCGCCTCTCAAGTGCACCCAAACAGTATGCCTATCCTGGGTCTTATTAGTTCCCCATTTCTCTTTATTCCGGAGCTACTATTTCCTCCTGTTCGTCATCTCATAGATGCCCTTAAAAAAATAACTATGATTAAAAATTCATTAGAACCCAAATCCCTGACTGCCCAGTCATCCTAAACCCAGGCCCAAATTTTATATCTAGTGCAAATCTCTAATCACAATGCTTAGCATGTATACAGTTCTTTATCAACACTTTATGAACCTGCCTGCCAGGCAGGTATTCACTCAGCTTTTGCAGTGGGGGAAACTGAGTCACGGAGAGGGCTTGCCTGAACTTGCGTGATGAGTTGATTTCAGGGCTGGGAAGAAAACACAGCTAGTTCCTAGTCGCCTGCTCAGTGCAGGGGTTTCCAAACTGTGGTTCATGTACCACTGGTGGCACATGAGCTTGTTGGAAGTGGTACATTGTATCAGGGTTGTCAGTCCCTGGAAGCGGTACTGGGACAGAGGCCTGTTCCATGACATGGCCCCTTTTAGGCAAGATATTCAGGGGAGCGGAAGACTAACTGAGAAAGCGGGGGGGGGGAGAGGAGGAAAAAGGTGTTGATCAGGTGTCTACCTCCTTAATATGATAAAACCCAGGTGTCAGATGACCCCCAGGAGGAGAGAGGCAGACAGACTGAAGAGGAGAATTAGGGGAAGCCTGCCTGATTCACAGCCCACCCCAAGGAGGCAGGTTGTGGGATTCCTTAACCAAGAGGAAAGAGTTGTGAGTCCACTGCAGAAGGCCTGTCAGAAAGATTCTTCTAAGAGGCCAGGGTGTTTAGTGGGACTGGCAAGGCTCCCTGGGCAGGGAACTGGGAGCCTTCCCAACATTCCCCCACCTCCCTAGCTCCCCTCTGAGGCTTTGTCTACACTGGCACTTCGATGGCAAAACTTTTGTCATTCAGGGGTATTTAAAAAAACATCCCACCTAGAACGACAAAAGTTTTACCGACAAAAAGCGCCCTGCCGACAAACAGCAGCTACACCGCGTGCCTTTTAGTGGCACAGCCATGTCGCTAAAAGCCTCGTAGTGTAGCCATGGCCTAAGCCTTCCCTGCCCATTCACACTTACACTTACACACTGCTGGAGAATAACCGAGTTACACACACACCTCATTAGACCTGGGCAGGAAGTGTTTTTTCCATCTTTCCAGGATTTCAAAACTTTCCTCCAAACTGAACTTGTTTGCAAAATAATAACTACAGTAAATAAATAAAAGTGACTCACCCGCCCTAAAACAGCCAACAGCATAGTGGTTAGGGCACTCACTGGGCCATGGGCAATCCTAGTTCAAGTTTGTGATTCCCCCCTCCATCCTCCTCCCACGCCCGCTCCCTAATTTTATCAGAAATTCCTTCCTGGACCTAGAAACTTCTACGTTGCTGTGACAAGTCTTGGGATTTTGACACATTTTTGTTAGAAAACATCACAGCATTTCGGTGAAAAACTCCCAACGTGCTCTAAACCTCACGTCCTCTAACCCTCCCAAAGGGACTCCCCTAGCCAAACTGCCTTCTCTTCTAATTCCCCCAGGCAGATCTTCACCAGCCACATACAAAACTTATTTGACTAAGTGTCTCTAAATATCTTAATTAACCCTATTAAGACCTAAACCAAGAGGACACAAAAAGGATTAATGTGCAGGTGAGACTTCAAACATCAGTTCTTCAGGAAGGTGTCATGTGAACAATAAAGTCTGTGAACTACAGCACTAGTACACACTCCTGGGCCAGATTCTCAGTGGCTGTAAATCAAGGTTGCAGTGTCTTCAATGGAGCTACCGAGGCATCTTTAAGGTGCCACCGGACTCCTCGTTGTTTTTGTGGATACAAACTAACCCAGCTACCCCCTGATATTTGAGGCATACAATAGCTGAACATCAACATTTGGGAAGGCAGTGTGGCCTAGTGTAAGTTGTACTGTACCTCAATTAATAATGAATATTATATTGGTTATTTCTGTCTGGTATTGGTTAGCCATGTAAAATTAAGTTACTTAGTTTTGGTGGGTGCCCTTAAACAGGTTGGATAACGATGCACTGCCACAATTAGATGCTGTGCATAGCCAGTCCAGGGCTATGACCCTGTTTTCCAAGCCTTACAGAATATTGTCTCCAGAGGCAGAAGTCCAACAACAGAGGTGTGAAATACAATCCATCATTCACCTCAACAAGGTGCCAATGGTGGGGGGAGGTGGGACCTAAGGGGATGCAAAGCTTACTTATCAACAGGGCTTAGGAAATTGCTGAATGCTCATTTGCATCTCAATGCTCAGAAGACAATGCCAGCTGACAGGTACTCCTTGCTAGGTGCCTTGGGAACAAACAGAAGATTTGGACTGTGCCTGTAGGGCAGTGGTTCCCAAACTTTAACAACTTGTGAACCCCTTTCACTAAAATGTCAAGTCTCATGAATCCCCTCCTAAAAATGAATATTTCCAGGGATTTTCTCCTTTACCTGAGTATAAATGATAAAAAGCAGTGATCTTGGAAATATAAAATGTGTCTTTATGACATGCTTATTACACACTATTTATTATCAATTATTATTTATCATCATTACAGTATTTTTATTACATTATGAAAACAGCAACACTCTTCCAAGATCTCACTTTCGTAGCTTGTATCACTTGGAATAAGCCTGTTATAAGACAAGGCTCCTATGTTTCATCAAGGAGTATCAGATGTGAAACAGCATAAAGGTATTTAAGAAGCCAACTCAAAGAGTTCCTGCTACACAACCATTCAGGTCTTGAGCAGTCCAGGCTAACAACGCATGTTACAACAAAGCTTAAACTTGTTCTTCATAATAATTTTAAAAACAATACTAGCTGCCTATTTATTTTAAAAACAGCAAAAAATATCCACCTCCCTTTCCATTTCTTATAAGGAGTTTTGAAGTTTAAATCCCCTCCGTGTGATAGATCTGCTTAGCTCTTGGAAATCCAGAGGCTCCAGGCTGCTGGCCCCGTACTGCCCGGGGTCCCTATGGACAGCTCTGTCCGCCATTAGGGAATTTTTTCCCAAGAACCCCCTGTAACACTTCGTGAACCCCAGTTTGGGAACCACTGCTGTAGGGTGACTGGTTTCAGAGTAGCACCCGTGTTAGTCTGTGGGTATGTCTACACTACGAGAGTAGTTCGATTTCACTTAAATCGAATATGTGGAATCGATATTACAAAGTCGAACGTGTGTATCCACACTAAGGACAGTTATTCGACTGTGTGAGTCCACACTAACGGGGCAAGCGTCGACATTGGAAGCGGTGCACTGTGGGCAGCTATCCCACAGTTCCTGCAGTCCCCGCTGCCCATTGGAATTCTGGGTCGAGCCCCCAATGCCTGCTGGGGAAAAAAATGTGTCGAGGGTGGTTTTGGGTAACTGTCGTCATCCAACCGTCACTCCCGCCCTCCCTCCCTGAAAGCGCCGGCGGGCAATCAGTTCGCGCACTTTTCTGCTAAGTGACACCACGGACACCACAGCACTGTGAGCATGGAGCCCGCTGCGACCATCGCTGCAGTTGTGGCCGCTGTCAACACCTCGCACCTTATCAGCCACCTTTTCCAGAGGCAGATGCTGAGAAATCGGGCGAGGAGGCTACGGCAGCGCGATGAGGACATGAAGTCTGAGAGTGGCACAGACCTGTCACAAAGCACGGAACCCCGCGCCGTGGACATCATGGTGGCACTGGGTCATGTTGATGCCGTGGAACAGCGATTCTGGGCACGTGAAACAAGCACGGACTGGTGGGACCGCATAGTGCTGCAGGTCTGGGATGAATCCCAGTGGCTGAGAAACTTTCGCATGCGGAAGGGAACTTTCCTTGAACTTTGTGAGCTGCTGTCCCCTGTCCTGAAGCGCAAGGACACCCGGATGCGAGCAGCCCTGACTGTCCAGAAGCGAGTGGCCATAGCCCTCTGGAAGCTTGCAACACCAGACAGCTACCAGTCAGTCGCGAACCACTTTGGCATGGGCAAATCTACCGTAGGGGTTGTTGTGATGCAAGTAGCCAACGCAATCGTTGATGTACTGCTGTCAAAGGTAGTGACCCTGGGAAACGTGGAGGTCATCATAGATGGCTTC